GAGTCACATGGAAAAGATGAGGGGTAATGAGTAGAAGTTACTCCTAGGGAGATTCCGACTGGACGCAAGAGGGAAATTTTTCACAATGAGAACAACCAGCCGTTGGAATAATCTCCCCAGGGAAGTGGTGGATTCCCCAACATCGGACACTTTTAAGATTTGGCTGGACAGGGTGCTGGGCCATCTTGTCTAGACTGTGCTTTTGCCAAGAAAGGCTGGACCAGATGATCCTTGAGGTCCCTTCCAACCTGGTATTCTATGATTCTATGATTCTATGATTCCTTTCTTTGAGTCACTAAAATGTTCCTGGGTTGGCAAGGCAGATTCTACTCAGAAAGAGATGCTTATAAAGCAGACGTTTACTGCAGGACATGAACAAGTTGATATCGTGATAATAGATTCTGTTCTTATTCCAAATCTAACACTTAACAACAACAACATTCCAAATCTAACACTTATTCCAAATCTAACACTTAACAACAAAATCAAATGTTTTCACATAAAGACAGGAACTGACTGCTTTACCGTGTTGTATTTACCACAGTATGACTTTGGTATAGTATCAGAATATTAGGTAGGATGGTGCTGCCAGATCTTTCCTGTATGAAAATATCCATAGGGAAGGAAATGTTTATGTTGTTTTTAATTTATTTTAAATATTAAATACTTATCACAGTTCTATAATGAGAAAATGTGGGTTTTGCTATTTGTGCTGCTAACCCTCTAAGAAAGAATAAACAAACAGCACCAAACTGACAGGATAATCAGTATATTCAGAATATTTTGAAATACACAGAGAGAAGGAACAGTGGAGGTGGTGCCATATTATCACTGAAGGTGCTATGTGCCTAACTGGCATAATTTAAAACATACTCAGGAACAGACTGGTTTGGCTTTCCTGGAATAAATACATGTATATAAACACTAATTAATACTTTTTTGCAAGAATTCAAGCTGGAATTGATTAAAAAATAGAATATTTTAATGAAGTGAGTATTACTGCAATTGTTTTTCCACGTCATCAAGTGACACCATTTTCTATTGTAGGAAGTCTAGGTCACTCAAAACTGTAATCAAGCTATGTTCACTCTTAGTTACCTTTTGGCTATAACATCACCTTTCTGAAACAGAAGGGAATATGTTTGCATAAAAAGTTTACAGAGGAGACATTTTTTTTTTTTTGTAAAGTTTCTTGCCTTGAGTTACAAAGCACTACTTTCATTCTAACCCATATGCTATTTTCAGTTGATCACAGCCATTGAAAATGCATGTGGTAAAAAGTCACCAGAAAGAGCTTCTATTAGGAAGTCAAATATTATCTATACATTTAGGGATCAATCAGGCTGAAAAATAAATCTAGCTAATTCAAAATGAGTCCTGTTCTTAGATTAGGATTGACTTGAACAAGGCAAAAAAAAAAAAAAGAGTAGTGTTTTGATGATTAGGAATCTAGGAAGAGAGTTTCTACTAAAGACAAGACTTGCTTTATTTGCTGATTTTCATGTAGTTTGTGTTTTCAAGTGCTTTAACCAGTTACTATCTGAACTTTAACTTGATAGGTTTTTGAGTTAAATCATGAGCTTCTGTTGAATTCTTTTATTATATTTAGTCTTTCCCAGAATGTTCTTAGAAAAGATGGGAATCACTTGTTACCTAAGGAGGTTGCCTCATTTAGTGTTTCTTCTGTTTGTCCTTTTTTAAGAGTAAAGTTTTTTGCTTTAGAATTTGTGTGTTACCTTTGAAAAGTGTGATTGTCATCTTGATGCAGAGTTCAAACACACTGATACATCTAACACATAATCACTAAAGTCCAAAAGTTGCCCCCTTGTTTTCTCATCAGTTTCATTTTTCAATGACTGAGACCTCTTAATTATTTTCTTTCTTTTGTCTTAGCTGGTTGCTCTTAATATATTTATTCCACCATCTCCTCTTTTTCCATCCTCCGTAATTTATGTTAAACCTACAGGCATGAAATATGGCATTAACATTAAGCCTACCATTCATCACCTCTGATATTTTCTTGGCATTGGGTTTCCTTCTTCTCCATATTTTGTTTGGCTTGTCTATTTTGTTTATACTCTCTCAGGGCAAAGCCTGGATTGCCCCAGAGCTCTTCTGTGTTGAGTGCTCTTACGATATTAGTCCTTTGAAACCAGCTGTATAACTTTATCCAACATCTGTGAATAGCACCTTCTCAGTGAGTAGCTTCTCTGTTCTTCTCAACTACAGTTGAAATTGTTCACTCACAGGGTGTCTTATTTCTGTTCCATTTCCTCTTTCTTCTTCTTAGTCATCCATTTGACTCAGCCTCATGCGGTCAGAAAGGATAATACCAACTGGGTAAACTTAGACATGCATTAATCAAAGTTCTTAAAAGCAATACAGATGTTCCCCTTCTCTGTATATCACGTGTCACTGGAAGGGAAATTTTGCTCCTTTTTGGCCCATGCTTTAATTCTTGGGATGTCTAACTCCTGTTAAAGTTTCCAGGTTCTTTTCCTACTGGTGTACATCTGGTAGTGCTATATATTGTGTCCTAGGGAACCTCTGGCAAGCATTTACTTTCTGCAGTGAGATGATTGTGAGTTTTTTCATTGCTCCAAGTTCACAAGAAATGTTAATAAATGTCTCTATTAGAAAATGCATGTCTTGATGTTTTATTTTTGTCTCTTCACAGCACTAATGATGCTTTAAAGTTAAGTGTAACTTTGTTGAACAGTTTTGTGTAACATGAGCGGAGTTGTTGGTCTGTAAGTGAAAAAGACAGACAAGCTATTTATAGCATGTAAAACAGTTCAGTTTCTCAATAATTCCTTCTAACTAATTATGAGTGAGGAAGAGGGCATGAGACAGGGAAAGCAGAGTTTAAAGCTATAAATAGGGACACATGGGAAGACAGTTGAGAATTGCTTCTCAATTCTATTCATGTTAATTAGAAAGAGTGGGGAATTGCTGTCTTGCTTTGTTATTCAAAGAGAGAGGTATGCAAATTTGAATAATTTCCAAATGTTTAGGACTGATCGTCTGAAATTTTGACACTAATGCTAATTTGGAGTACTTCAGAATTTCAGCTGAAAACCATCTACTTTCTTTCAGTGGCTCCTTACCTCATTCAAGGAAACTTTCCCAAAGCCAATAGAATTTTGACAGATTTGGAACTAGGAGCAAAATCTTATGCTTATTTTACCTTACACTATTACCTTGCCTTATTTCTGCTACCCATAATCCTTATGTTTTTCAGGCTACTATACTTTTTAAATACCGATTTCTACGTTTGCTTACTGCTTAAGTATGACTATCTTTTTAAAAATGCTGAGAGTTGCATTGTTCTGCCAGTCTAGATTGAATATCTGAAAATCAAATGGAATCTATATTATTCAAATTTATCTTCTAGTTTGTTTTCTTAATCTCAAGTTTATGCAGATCTTTTGTTTTCTTAATGCTTATGTTGTCAATGCGGAATAATTCTCTTAGCCTTTAGCTCCTTGTATTGATTTTGTTTATACAGAAAAATGTAATTAATTTCACTTTCCACTTGAGAAATTTAAGTTTGCACTGAATATACATGGAAAAAGCTAGAAATGCACTGTCCATCATAAACGTTCTCTTCAGGAAAAAGAAAATATAGACTTGCAGATGTCTGGATAGTTACATGCATGATTTTTCCATACAGCATGAAAGTATCTTATTTATTAGAATTGTTCTAAGTTCTGATTTTAAATCAATTCATATAATGTACATAAACAAGTTGAATGACCAACCAAGTTTGCTAATAGTCAATACAAAGTTGAGATGAATATTGATAGATCTGAATTTTCTCACTAAAAATGTGAATCACTCATTGCTGTTAAGACAAAATCTGCCTTTAAATTGTTGTTCAGAAATACCACACCACCAAAGGACATCTGAACAAGAGAATGATTATCATACTCTACTCACAAGCAACTTTTCGTTTCTTAAGTAGTGTTTTCCTCTGAAGACACAAGACAGCAAATAACTAACTATTGGTTTACAATTCACCTTTAGGGGATGCTTATTCTGAAATAGCCCTTCATTGATAAGGTAATTCTAAAGCAAAAGTTTAAATAAGCTTTTCCTGCCTTTGTCAGCTTTAGTGGTTACCACTGAAGAGAATGAGTTTTTATATACCTCTTCTCAAGTGCTATGACCCAAGTTAATGCTTGGCAATAGTCATCAATGTGTTGAAGGGATCTGTCAGTTGCATTTTCCTTCAGAGTGCAACTCTTGTAATTTATAGCTTGATATATGAGTTAAGGCATCTAGAAAAATGTGGAAAGAACTCACTTGTGGTAACAACGCTCAATTTTTTTTAACTTTTATTTTTCTCTTTTCTGATTTTCTTTTAGAATCAACTTTCCTTTACGAATAAAGGCTCTT